AATGTAGGGTGCAATTCAGTGTTAGGTACATGCATGATCATTGTATAGGTAAAGTGTGACTACTCTTATTGATATTATGTACCCCTGTTCCTCTGTCAGTGTCTCGCTACTGCCAATTCCTTTCTTATAGTAATATGGTAAATGTTCAGGGTCCACTTATGAGTGAGAACTTGTGGTACTCAGTCCTTTGTTTCTGTGATAGATCACTGAGTATTATAGACTCTAAGTTCATTCACGTTGCTGTCAAGAAAATGAACCTATTTTAAACATGTAATTCAGTGAGTTGTGATACATGAATTCAGTTATCTACACACCACACATAATGTTTACATCACCACCAGAAGCCTTTTACTGTTCTTTGCAGTCAGCCCTCAGCCCCAGCTCTTGCTGCAGGCAACCGGATGTTTACATCTGTCATGACAGTTTCATTCTGCTTTTTCTAGAATTTCATATAAATAGAATCATATAGTATACAGTGTGCTGTTTTGTCTAAATTTTTTTTGCCCTGTATGTTTTTGACTTTTTTTTTTTTGAGTTAGAGTCTTACTCTGTCTCTCAGGCTGGAGCATAGTGGCACACTCATGGCCACCGCAGCCTTGACCTGCTGAATTCAGGGGATCCTTCTGCCTCAGTCTTCCAAGTAGCTGGAACTACAGGTACATGCCAACATGCCCAGCTAATTTTTTAAAAATTTATTCTAGAGACGAGGTCTCGCCAAGTTGCCCAGGCTGGTCTCAAACCCCTTCTCAGGCAATCCTCTTGCCTCTGCCTCCCAAAGTGCTGGGATTACTGGCTTGTTTTTTACTTTTTTTGAGGTTTTAATGTATATCAGTATTTTGTTCCTTTTTAGAGTCAAGCAGTATTCGAGTGTGTGGATATACCACAGTATGTTCAGTTGATAGCATTTGGATTGCAGCATTTCATTTCTGGCTCTTACAAATAAAGCTACTGTAAATATTCATGATTGGTGTGAACATATATTTTCAAGTTTCTTGGGTAAACCTAAGAGTGGAATTCCTGGATCATATGAAGATTATGTTGTTGTTATTGTTTTATTTATTTATTTTTTATTTTTTTTGAGTTGGAGTCTCACTCTGTCGCCCAGACTGGAGTGCAGTGGCCGCTTCCAGCCACCGCAGCCTCGACCTGCTGGGCTCCGGTGATCTTTCCGCCTCAGCCTTCCAAGTAGCCGGAATTACAGACATGTGCTACCACGCCCGGCTGATTTTTTGATTTATTGTAGAGATGAGGTCTCGCTGCCCAGGCGGGTCTCGAACCCGCGGGCTCAGGCAATCCACTCACCTCAGCCTCCCCAAGGCGCGGGATTACAGGCTGAGCCACCGAGCTCAGCTTATTGTTTTATTTTAATAAGGAGCTACCAAACCTTTTCAAAGTGCTTGTACTACATTACAGTTTCCACTAGCAATGTCGAGAGTTCTGTTTTCTCTAAGTCTACTCCATCTCTTGGTAGCATTGGTTTTTTAAATTTAGCCAGTCTAATAGGTATATAGAAGTATCTCATTGTGGTTATAATTTGTGTTTTTCTAATAATTATGATGTTGAACATCTTTTCACATATCTTAGCTATGCATTTGTCTTTGTTGGAGTCTCACTCCATCGTCCAGGCTGGAGTACAGTGACACACGGCTACCCCAGCTTGACCTGCTGGTCTCAGGCGATCCTTCTGCCTCAGCCTTCCAAGTAGCCAGAGTTACAGGTGCACGTTACCATGCCCAGCTAATTTTTTTGATTTATTGTAGAGACGAGGTCTCACCAGGTTGCCCAGGATGGTCTTGAAACCCTGGGCTCAGGCAGTCCTCTTGCCTCGGCCTCCCAAAGTGCTGGGATTACAGGTTTGAGCCACCGTGCCTGGCCTTTTTTATTTTTGTTTTTGTTTTTCACTCTTTGCCCAAGCTGGAGTGCAGTGGCACAATTATGGCTCACCATAGCCTCAACCTCATGAGCTGTAGTGATCCTCTTGCCTCAGCCTCCTAAATACCTGGTACTATAGATGTGTGTTACCATACCTGGCTAATTTTTCTGTTTTTTGTAGAAACAGGGTTTTGCTTTGTTGCCCAGGCTGGTCTCGAACTCCTGATTTCAAGCAATCCTCCCACCTCAGCATCCCAAAGTTTTGAGATTACAGGTGTGAGTCACCACACCCAGCTTTTGCTTCTTTTAAACTGGGTTATTGGTCTTCTACTTATTGTATTATTAAAGTTCTGTATATATTATGGATATAAGGTTATTGGCAGGTATGTGTGTTGAGAATATTTTCTCCCATGATGTTTCCTTTTTCATATTTTTTACAGTATCTTTGGAAGAATAGTTTTTAATTTTAATATGTTCAATTTATATGTTTTTTCCTGTATGGTTCATGCTTTTTGTATCCTAGCTAAGAAATCTTTGCCTGGCTCTACATGGTTATGGTTTTCTCCTGTGCTTTCATATTGAATATATGGTTTTTGCTTTTGTGATAGGTCTGTGATCCACTTCTAGTTCATATTTGGTGTGAGACAGTTAAGGGTAGAGGCTCATTTAGGAAAGAATACAGATATCTCATTGTTTCAGAATTATTTGTTGAAAAGACTATTCTTTCTTTTAGGAGTCTTTGTTAAAGTTCATTTGACAGTATTTATATTATTTGTGTTCTAACCCAGACCCCAATTTATATGTTGAAATCCTAGCAGTGTGATGGTTTAGGAAGTGGGCTTTGAGGGAAGCAATTGAGTCATGAGAGTGGTGCCCTCATGAATGAGATTAGTGCCTTTATAAAAAGGGTCCTGAGAGAACTCTCTCTCTGCTCTCCACCGTATGAAAATATGATGAGAAAATGACATCTGCAGCCGCAGAAGAGGGGCCCTGCGCGAACCCCCTGATCTTTGACCTCCAGCCTCCAGAACTGCGAAAAATACTTTCTGCTGTTTATAAGTCACCCAGTGTATGGTACTTTGCTACAGCAACGTAAACTAACTAGGACTATGGATCTAATTCTGGACTTTATTCTGTCTCATTGATCTGTACTTTTGTTCTTGTGTCAATATGAGTATTGATTACTATAGCTTTATAGAAAGTCTGGAAGTTTGGTAGTTTCAATCTTGTTTTTCCTTAAAATTGTTTTGGTTGTCTAGGAACTTTGTATTTCCATATGAATTTTAAAATCGGTTTGCCAGGTTTCCCTGTAACCTGTAGGGATTTTGCTTGGGGTTGATTTGGATCTTTAGATAACTAAGGCAAAAGATGTGATCTTAGGTGGGAAAATAGGTAGCTGATCACACATTCTGCATGAAGTTCTTCCTTGAAGGAAGATCTGGGTGAATCATATATGTCTACCACAGTTATGGTAGTTGATGATGTTCAGATTCTCTATATCCTTACTAATTTGGGGGGGGTATTTTATTACTGGGAAATGTACATTCAAAATTTATAATTATGGCTAGATTTACCTGTTTCCCCTTTAGTTATGTTAGTTTTTATCTTATGTATTTTGAAGTTATGTTATTAGGTATATATACACTGATAATGGTTATAATTTTCTGATGTATTGACCCTTTTATCATTATGAAATATCCTTTTTTATTCAAGGAATAATTCTTACATAATCTGTTTTTTTCCAATTGTTGATATAGCCCCTCTAATTTTTTCATAGTTATTTTTCTTACAGCATATCTTTTTCCATCCTTTCATCTTTTAACCTATTTGTGTTTTCCTACTTAGAGTGAGTCTCTCAGAGTAAGACTGAATCACTTTAGGAAAAGCATAAGGACTTTGTAGCTGTTGTCACCAGATAAGCTGGGTAGAGGGACATGCAATATTTCAACTTCTCTGTGGGTCTAAAGTTATTTCAAGTGCTCATAATTGCTTGTTGCTGCACTTTTAAGATAGCTTCTTTGAAATTTGTGTCTGTTAATTCTAGCATCTGTCTTTTCTGCGTTGTTGATTGTGCTTACTCATCAAAGTTGAGATTTTCCTGGTTTTTGATGAGTATTCTCTTTTTGGATTATATTGTAAACATTTTGAATATTCTCTTATGAGACTCTGCTTCCTATTAAAATCTTTTATGTGCATGGACAGCCCCTTGGGGAGGGAGAAAAGGTATGCCTCTCTGCTGATCCATGCCTTGTGTTAGGGTAGGATGGTCGGCAGGCTTTGCCCTGTCGTCTCTATGGCTGCAACCCCTGGTGGGAGCGGAAAGGGCCACCACTTCTGCTCTAAATGGTGCAAGATCATGGATGAACCATAGGGCTCTGTCCCTCAGATGACACAGGATCCGCTGAGATGGTTTTATTCTGCAAGATTGCTGTTTTTTTGGTCCTTTGATTAGAGCATAGATTTTTCTTTGGTTTCTTTGTTGTTGTTCTGTGTCTCTTGGCAGTTCCAGGTTGTGAGCTACTGTAACATGCAAGTTGGTCTACTCAGATGGCAAAACATCTTTTTTTTTTTTTTTTGAGTTGGAGTCTCACTCGGTCACCCAGACTGGAGTGCAGTGGCTGCTCCCGGCCACCGCAGCCTCGACCTGCTGGGCTCCAGCGATCCTTCCGCCTCACCCTTCCGAGTAGCTGGAATTACAGGCATGTGCTACCATGCTCGGCTGATTTTTTTATTTACTGTAGAGATGAGGTCTCGCTGCCCAGGCGGGTCTCGAACCTGCGGGCTCATGCAATCCACTCACCTCAGCCTCCCAGAGGCGCGAGATTACAGGCTGAGCCACCGAGCCCGACTTGTGGCAAAACATCTTTAGGGAATTTATTGCTGGGTCACATTCCTCAAGACCTGAGGTCTCCAGTTAATTTGCCTTATTTTCTTCACCTTTCAGAGTCTTCTGGTAGTTGCTTTTTGTCTTTGATCCAAGGTTTTTAGTTTCAACTAACAGGAAGAAGGGGTAGAATGCTCCTACTCCATTGTGTTTAGCGCCAGAAATCTGTTGGGTTTTTTTTCAAATATACAATTTTCTGTATGTTGTAATTTTATTTATTTGCCTTGTTTATTTTGTTTTTCAGGCAAATGAAGATAAAACAATGTCCGCCAACCTAAAATACCTTTCCTTGGGAATTTTGGTCTTTCAGACTACCAGTTTGGTTCTAACAATGCGTTATTCTAGGACTTTAAAAGAGGAGGGACCTCGTTATCTATCTTCCACAGCAGTGGTTGTTGCTGAACTTTTGAAGATAATGACCTGCATTTTATTAGTCTACAAAGACAGCAGTAGGTATCTAGGTTTTTTGTTTTTAATCAGTGCAGTTTATTCAGTTTACTACATATATATTTAAATATATATTGGTAACTACACATTTGAACTCTTGCATTATCCAATGCCTTAGTATTAAGAACATTTCAATATCTTAAAATGTTTACTAAGGCAGTTTAACTAGTGTGGACAGCATTGCAATATCTCATCTCTACAAAAAAAAAAAAAAAAATTAACTGGGCACAGTGGTGCATGCCTGTAGTCCCAGCTAAGTGGGAAGCTGAGGTAGAAGGGTCACCTGAACCCGAGAGGTCGAAGCTGTGATGAGTTGTGTTTGTGCCACTGCACTCTAGCCTGGGTGACAAAGTGAGACCCCAGCTCAAATAAGATAAAATAGAAAAGACAGTTTAAGTCTAGTAATAAAGACATTTTATTTGCATCATGTCTCTTCTGGCTAATGCTGTAAATATGAGATAATTTCTTGCATTTATATTAATTTGAGAATAAGACTAAATTTTATAATTGTATGCCTGTTGAAACTTTAGAGGAATCATAGTAATTTTTAAAAGGTTTTTTATTTTATTTGCTTCATTGATTATTCCATCAGTGACTAATTTTATGTAGTTTTCTAAAACAATTTTATTGAGATATAATTCACAAACTGTATACTTTACTCATTTAAAGGATACATTTAGTTGGTTTTGGTGGGTTTTAGTGGGTTTCCATTTTGAATTTTTTAAAATTGTGGTAAAATATGTGTGTATGTGTATACTCTCTCTCTCTCTCTCTCTCTCTCTCTCTCTCTTTCTCTTTCTCTCTCTCTCTCTCTCTCTCTCTCTATATATATATATATATATATATATACACACACACACACACATATGACATAAAATTTGGCAATTTAATCATTTTTTTGCCTATTAGGAATTCAATGTGGAAACATTTTAATCATTTTTAGTGTACAGTTCATTGGCATTAGTCACATTCAAAATGTTGTACAACAATTACCACTATCTATTTCCAAAACTTTTTCATCACCCCAAACAAAATCTTTCTGACTATTTTTTTTTTTTTTTGAGTCAGAGTCTCACTCTGCCACCTAAGCTAGAGTGCAGTGTGCTCATGGCCACTGAAGCCTCGACCTGCTGGGCTCAGGTGAGCCTTCCACCTCAGCCTTCCAAGTAGCTGGAACTATAGGTATGTGCCATCACACTTGGCTAATTTTTTTATTTATTGTAGAGATGAGGTCTTGCCAAGTTGCCCAGGCTGGTCTTGAACCCCTGGGCTCAGGCAGTCCTCTCGCCTCCACCTCCACACCTGGCACCCTTCTAACTATTAAGTAATAGCTTCCCATTCTCCCTTACCCTTAGCCCCCAGGAACCTCTGATTTACTTTTCATCTCTGTGAATTTTTCTATTCTAAACATTTCACATAGGTAGAGTCATATCATGTTTGTTGTTTGGGGTCTGGCCTATTTCACTTAGCATAATGTTTTCAAGGCTTCTCTATGTTGTAACATATATCAGAACTTTGTTCCTTGTTATGGCTGAATCATATTCTGTTGTATGAGTGATTTGTCCATTCATGTGTTGGTGGCCACCAGGGTTATTTCTCCCTTCTGGCTCCTGTGGATAGTGCTGGGATGAACAACGAGTGACGCTGCCACAGATGTACAAGGTTTTGGGTCCCTGCTCTCCTCTCTTTTGCATGTGCATTTAGGGTCGGAATTGCTGGGTCATGTGGTAATTCTGTATTTAACTTTTTAAGGGACTATCAAACTGCTTTTTACAGCAGCAGGACAGTTTTGCATTCCCACCAGCAATGTACAAGTTTTCCAGTTTCTTCACGTCCTCTCTAACACTTGTTATTTTCCATTTTGTTTTTATTAGTGGCCACTCTAGTAGGTGTGAAGCAGTGTCTCATTTTGGCTCTGACTTGTGTTTCTCTCATAACTAACAATGATGATTTTTCATGTGCTTTGTGACTATTTGTATTTTTCTTCTTCTTCTTCTTCTTCTTCTTCTTCTTCTTATTATTATTATTATCATGGCTCACTGGGCTCAGGGGATCCTCCCGCCTAAGCCTTCTGAGTAACTGGGATTACAGACACACTCTACCATATTCGGCTAATGTTTTTCTTTCTTTTTGTAGAGGCAAGATCTCACTATGTTGCCCAGGCTGGTCTCAAATTCCTGGGCTCAAGCAATCCTCCTGCCTCAGCATCCCAAAGTCCTGGTATTACGGGCATGAGCCACCATGCCTGGCCTGTATTTTCTTTTGAACTACATCTGACGTGAATTGCTAGTAGATTAAAATGCGAAGACCAGAAAAAAGGAGGAATCCAGTTTGTGGAACAATTCCTAGGTTCTCAGATTAAACTACTGGATGATTATGTACTGGAGTTGAGCCATATCAAGTCTGAGACCGAGAAGACATTCAGATTAAGATGTCAAATGGTAGAGTCTATGAAAAGGGAGCCCGAGGACATGTCAGCTGATGTGTTGCTTTAAAGTCAAGAATTGGATGAGATAATTTAGGTTATACTAGAGGAGGAGAAGGCCAAGGGCTGAGCACTCTTGCCTTCCCAGTATTTAAGGTCAGACTCAGAAGGAGGAGTTGGCAGAAGAAGACTGTAAAGGTGTCACCCACGAGGTGGAAAGAAAACCATGAAAATATACTAGGAGTGTGGAAAAGGTCGTGCCTGCTGTTCAGGCAGACACGAGCAGAAGTATCCACTGCATTTAACCTTGTGGAGCCAAATAGTTGCACTGTACAGGCACCAAGGTAAAACCCCCTCGCAGTGAACCAAAGCCCAAATAGACACACAGAACACAAAAATAGATTCTGGGTGCATTAAAGATTGACGTTTAAGACCAAACGCTGATTTATGCTTGTAATCCCAGCACTTTGGGAGGCAGAGGTGAGATTAGCCTAGACAACTTGGCGAGACCTTGTCTCTACAATCAATTTTTTTTTTTTGAGTTGGAGTCTCACTCTGTCACCCAGACCGGAGTGCAGTGGCCACTCCTGGCCACCGCAGCCTCGACCTACTGGGCTCTGGCGATCCTTCAGCCTCAGCCTTCCAAGTAGCCGAAATTACAGGCATGCGCTACCATGCCAGGCTGATTTTTTGATTTATTGTAGAGATGAGGTCTCGCTGCCCAGGCGGGTCTCGAACCCACAGGCTCAGGCAATCCACTCACCTCAGCCTCCCAAAGGCGCGGGATTACAGGCTGAGCCACCGAGCCCGGCTTCTACAATCAATTTTTAAAGATTAGGCTGGGTACAGTGGCTCAGTCTGTAATCTCAGCACTTTGGGAGGCCGAGGTGAGTGGATTGCCTGAGCCCGCAGGTTCAAGACCAGCCCAGGAAACTTGGTGAGACCTCATCTCTACAATAAGTAAAAAAAATTAGCTGGGCATGGTAACACGCACCTGTAGTTCTGGCTACTTGGAAGACTGAGGCAGAAGGATTGCCTGAGCCCAGCATGTCAACACTTGGGTAGCCATGAGCATGCTACTGCACTCCAGCCTGGGTGACAGAGTGATACTCCAACTCAGAAAAAAAAAAGTAGCTGGTTGTGGTGGCTCATGCCTGTAATCCCAGGCATGGGATACTTTGAGAGGCCGAGGCCATTAGCTGAGCCCAGGGGTTCAAGACCAGCCTGGGCAACATGGGGAGATGTCGTCTCTACAATAAATCAAAAAATTAGCCAGGCATGGTGGCACATGCCTGTAGTCCCAGCTACTTGGAAAGGTGAGGCGGAAGAATCACCTGAGCCCAGCAAGTCGAGGCTGCGGTGGCTGTGAGTGTGCCACTGCACTGCAGCGCGGGCAACAGAATAAGACTCCAACTCAAAAAATAATACCAGGAATTGACAGGAATTGACAAGACCTTCCCTAAGGAAGAGGGAAATAGATGTGATAGCACTGATCAGTTAAACATCAAAAAGCAGCTGGGCTCCGTGGTCTATACCTATAGTCCCAGCTACTTGGGAGGCTGAGATGGGAGAACTGTTTGAGTCTAGGAATCAAATCCAGCCTGGGCAACATAGTGAGAACTGTCTCCAAAAAAAAAAAAGCATTTAAAATAAGCTAATATTTTAGATAATTTTTCTGGTAAAATTAAGAAAATCTTTTGATAACTCTTAGTTAACAATTTTTTACTGTTATTTTGGGGTGAGGAAAGTGTGGTTATCAGCTATCTTTTAAAGTTTTTTTCGCTGGGCTCGGTGGCTCAGCCTGTAATCCCACGCCTTGGGAGGCTGAGGTGAGTGGATTGCCTGAGCCCGCGGGTTTGAGACCCGCCTGGGCAACTTGGTGAGACCTCATCTCTACAATAAATCAAAAAATCAGCCAGGCACGGTAGCACGTGCCTGTAATTCCGGCTACTTGGAAGGCTGAGGCGGAAGGATCACCAGAGCCCAGTGGGTCGAGGCTGCGGTGGCCGAGAGCGGCCATTGCACTCCAGTCTGGGTGACAGAGTGAGACTCCAACTCAAAAAAAAAAGTTTTTTTCACTTCAAAAGACTTTATAATCAAAATTTTCCTTTTTTTAAAATTTATTTTTTATATTTTAGATTGGAAAATATTGTTTATTTAGAAAGTAAATTAAAGAGAGATGGGGAGGGGAAAAGTTTTCCTTTTTATATTGGGAGATGAAATCATCTGAAAGTGTCAATCTTGGTAAAGTAATAGGGTTTCTGAGAATATCTCTCTTGAGAGGTTCATGTATCTCTTTTTTTTTTGAGTTGGAGTCTCACTCTATCGCCCAGACTGGAGTGCAGTGGCCGCTCCCGGCCACTGCAGCCTCGACCTGCTGGGCTCTGGTGATCCTTCCGCCTCAGCCTTCCACGTAGCTGGAACTACAGGTGCGTGTTACCACACCCAGCTAATTTTTTGATTTTTTTGTAGAGATGAGGTCTCGCCTGCCCAGGCATGTATCTCTTAAAAGTCTTTGGACAGTATCTGTGACTGATACTGTGGGGTGGCTAGTACACAGAGCATTTCCAACTGCTTCTGCCTTTCCTGTCTCTACTGTAGAGGAAATGAAGGGAAAGACTTGGTTTCCCAGCTCCTTTGCTGGGGTGGCCGCACCACACCATTCCATAAGAGAAGCCAGGGAGATGCCCACCGAACCTCTTGTGGCTTCTTCCTGCCTGAAGCAAGAGCCAGGGGTGCGGCAGTCATCTGGTGACCTTGTTGCAATAGTCATGTAGACGACAGATGACAGGTTGAAGGTCATAGGCAAAATATATGCAATACTGTATCTAGAAGCATCTTATAATAGTGCCTGGATGTTATTGTCATGTATGTTTCACCATTCAGGAATCTCCTCAAGATCATATTGAAGAAAAATGTAAAGTGAGTTATTCAACTCTAAGACAGTTACTTTTTTTTTTTTTTTTGAGTTGGAGTCTTACTCTGTCTCCCAGGCTGGAGTGCAGTGGACATTCATGGCCACCAAAACTTCAACCTCCTGGGCTTGGACGATCCTTCCACCTCAGCCTTCCAAGTAGCTGGAATTACAGGCACGTGCCACCACACCTGGCTAATTTTTTTTATTTCTTGTAGAGACGAGGTCTTGCTAAGTTGTCCAGGATGGTCTCGAATCCCTGGACTCAAGCAATCCTCTTACCTTCAAATTTTATTTTTTGCTCTTTTTTTTCTAAGTATGTTTCTCTTGGACATAGTTTGAACCATTTACAGAATATAGAGATGCAGGCTGAGTTAATAGCAATACTGCATTAACAGAAAAGAGATAATACTGCTCTATAGGGTGATCTGCTGAACCTTAGGATATGACTTCAGCCTGGTCATCACCAGGATGGGCTATAGTGGGTACGAAGCGTACAACAAAGATCTCAGAAGGCCTTTACAGGCAATGTTAAGTGATTCATGCAACCAGGAAGGAGTAGCCCTCCTCACTATGAAATCCTCTGGCCCCAGCTGTCTCTCTCGTCGCCTGGTTAATGGCACTCCACCCATGGTGGCGCTGCTATGGGCTCCCCTTGGCCTCAAGGTCTTCAAGAGGAAGAATAGGCCTTCTTCCAGACACAGGCTGGCAGCCTGTTCCAGGGCTAAGGGCGATAGTTTTCAGGTCGGGGACAGTCATTAGGAGTGGTCCTTTTGCTTCCAGGACCACCTTCCCACCCCACCACCCCAGGGCCTTCTTCCCAAAGGACTATGCCCTTACTTCCCAGCTGGACGTAAGCACCCTCTTTAGCTTGCTTGATGCAGGGTTTCCACAAACCTTCAAACTGCAAAAACGCAGTGTCGGTGAAGCAAAGCGAGATGAGTTGAGGTAAAAGGTATGCTTAGAGCGGGAGCCTCAGTCCTGTGCTTAGAGTTCTGGATCGAGCCACTTGCTGAATATGACAGAGTCTCTGGGCTGAGCTAATGTTAGTTTAGTTAGTTGTTTACAACCAGACCCGTTTCCCAACTCATTTACCTTTTATGAGTGAAGCTTTCACAATTATTAGTTGGCAGGAATGGCTGATGATAAAAGGAATGCACAAAGTAAAGTTTTTATGATGTTGCTACAACAAAATTTGATTATCAGAATGAAAAACACAAGGATATGCTACCCTAGAACATTTGGCATTTGAAAACATGGCATCATAAAGTATATTTTAAAATTAAAAGTATCTTGACATGTAGCTCAATTTTCTTCTTTTACACATGCGAAAACTGAGGCCTTGAGAGAGGCTACATAACTTCCTCTAAATTATTGACTGATTTTTCTCATGTTGTACTTCTAGAATGTAGTCTCAGAGCACTGAACCGAGTACTACACGATGAAATTCTGAATAAGCCTATGGAGACACTGAAACTTGCTATTCCCTCAGGGATCTACACTCTTCAGAATAACTTACTGTATGTGGCACTGTCAAATCTGGATGCAGCTACTTACCAGGTACTTCAAATATGTTTCTTTCTTTAAATAATTTTTTAAACTAATAATGATAATTGTACATGTTTATGTGTGCATGTGATATTTTGATACATGCATACAATGTGAATGATCCAATCAGGGTATTCAGGATATCCATCACCTCTAACATTTAGATTGCCTTAGGTAGTAAGGTCATTTTGACAATAGTAATTCTTCAAGTCTGTGAGTATAGGAATTCTTTCTATTTGTGTCCTCTTTAATTTCTTTCATCAAGGTTTTATAGTTTTTCTTGTAGAAAAACTCTCATCTCCTTGGTTATGTATATTCCTAGGTAGATATTTTTTGGTAGCTCTTTTAAATAGAATTGCTTTCTTTTTCAGCTAGTTCATTATTAGTGTATAGAAATACTACTGATATGGCTGGGTGCGGTGACTCAAGCCTGTAACCACAGCACTTTGGGGTGCTGAGGAGAGAGGCTTGCCTGAGCCCGTGAGTTCAAGACCAGCCTGGGCAACATGGTGAGAACTCGTCTCTATAATAAATTTAAAAAAAATTTTGCTGGGCGTGGTAGTATGCGCCTGTAGTTCCAGCTACTTGGAAGGCTGAGGCAGAAGGATTGCCAGAGCCCAGCAGGTCGTTGCTGGGTGACCGTGAGCATGCCACTATACTCCAGCCTTGGTGATGGAATGAGACTCCAACTCAAAAAAAAGAAATGCTACTGATTTGAGTATTTGGAATTTATATTCTGCAACATAACTGAATATGTTGATAGGCCATATATATATATATATATTCATAGTACCTTTTATTTCTTTCTTTGACCTGGTTACTCTGGCTAGGACTATGTACAAGTAACTATGTTGAATAAGAGTGTTAAAAGTGGACACTCTGCCCGAGCTTGGTTGCTCAACCTATAATCCCAGCACTTTAGGAGACCGAGGAGAATGGATTGCCTGAGCCTGTGGGTTCGAGACTAGCCCAGACAACTTGGCAAGACTTTGTCTCTACAATAAATTAAAAAATAGCTGGACTTGGTAGCATATGCCTGTAGTTCAGCTACTTGGAAGGTTGAGGCAGAAGGATAGCTGGAGCCTAGCAAGTCGACACTGGGGTGGCCAAGTGTGTGCTGCTGCACTAGAGCCTGGGCAATGGAGTGATATTCCAACTCAAAAAAAAAAGTGGGCATCCTTGTCTTGTTCTAGTTCTTAGAAAAAAGCCTTTCAGCTTTTCTCCAGTCTATATGTTAGCTGTGTGTTTGTCATATATAGTCTTTAATATGTTGAGGTATATTTTTCTTTTCTTTTAAATCATGGTCTCACTTTGTTACCCAGTCTGGAGTGCAGTGGCTTGATCATAGCTCACTACAGCCTTGACCTCCTGGGCTCTGGCGACCCTTCTGCCTCAGCCTCCCGAGTAGCTGGGACTATAGACGCACACCACTGTGCCTGGCTAGTGTGTTTTTTTTATTTTGCAGAGACTAGGTCTTGCTCTGTTGCCCAGGCTGGTCTCAAATTTCTGGGCTCAAGCAGTCCTCTCTCCTCAGTCTTCCAAAGTACTGGCATTTACTGGTGTGAGCCACTGTACCTGGCGAGGTATGTTCTTTCTATGCCTAATTTGTTGCGAATTTTTATCACAAAGTTGTGGGGTTTTTTAAACATCAAAGGGATGTTTTAATTTTTATCAAATGCTTTTTCTGCATCTATTTAGATGATCATACGGTTTTTGTTCTTTGTATTTTTTTTCTCTATTTCACTTAGTTCTGCTCTGATCTTTATTATTTCTTTCTTCTTCTAATTTTGAGTTTTATTTGTTCTTTTCTATTAGTACTAAAAGTTTCTTGAGGAATTGTTAGGGTGTTTATTTGAATATTTCCACCTTCTCAATGTAAGGTTCATTATTGTAAACTTCCCCATCCTCACCGCTTTTAGTATGTCCCATAGGCTTTAGTATGTTATGTTTCCATTGTCATTTGTTTCAAGAAATGTTTAGGTTTCCTTCTCCATTGACCCAGTGGCTGTTCAGGAGCAGGTTGTAAATGTCCATGTAATTGTATAGTTTCCAAAGTTCTTGGTGTCAATTTCTGGTTTTATTTTATTGGGCTCTGAGAAGGTACTTGACATGATTTATTTTTAAATATGTGTTGAAACTTGTTTTGTGGCCTAGATATGTTGTGGTCTGGAAACGTTTCATGTGCTGATGAGAAGCATGTACATTCTGCAACTGTTGGAGAAAATGTTCTGTAAAGGTGAATGGGTTCATTTGGTCTAAAGTGAAGCTAAAATCTAGTGTGTAATTGTTGAATTTCTGTCTAAGTGGTTTGTGTAATGCTGAGAGTGGGATGCTAAAGTCCCCACTACTATTATATTGGAGTCTGTCTGCCTTTCGAACAACTAATATTTGCTTTCTGTACCTGGGTACTTCGGTGTTGGGTAAATAAATATTTAGAGGTGTTATTTCCTCTTGCTGAATTGATCCCTTTGTACTTCTATAAGAATCTTCTTTGTCTCTTTTTACAGGTTTTTTTTTTTGAGTTGGAGTCTCACTTTGTCACCCAGGATGGAGTACAGTGGCACACTCACGGCCACCACAGTCTTGACCTGCTGGGCACAGGCAATCCTGCCTTAGCCTTCCAAGGAGCTGGAACCACAGGAACCACGCCCGCTGATTTTTTGGTTTATAGTAGAGATGAGGTTTTGCCAAGTTGCTCAGGCTGATCTCGAACCTCTGGTCTCAGGCAATTATCTTGCCTCCACCTCCCAAAGTACTAGGATTACAGGATCTTTTTACAATTTTTAACTTAAAATCTGTCTTATCTGATATGAGTATAGCAAATCCTGCTTTCGGTCTCCATTTGTGTGGAATATGTTTTTTTATTCCCTCACTTTTGCTTTTGTTTTTTGGGGAGTTTTTTTGGTTTTTTTTTTTTTTTTTTTGAGTTGGAGTCTCACTCTGTCGCCCAGACTGGAGTGCAGTGGCCACTTCTGGCCACCGCAGCCTTGGCCTGTTGGGCTCCGGCAATCCTTCTGCCTCAGCCTTCCAAGTAGCCGGAATTACAGGCGCGCGCTACTACACCCGGCTGATTTTTTGATTTATGGTAGAGATGAGGTCTTGCTGCCCAGGCGGGTCTCGAACCCGCGGGCTCAGGCAATCCACTCACCTCAGCCTCCCAAAGGCGCGGGATTACAGGCTGAGCCACCGAGCCCGGCTGGTTTTTTTTGAGTTGGAGTCTCACTCTGTCGCCCAGACTGAAGTGCAGTGGCCACTCCCAGCCACCGCAACCTCGACCTGCTGGGCTCCGGCGATCCTTCCACCTCAGCCTTCCAAGCAGCTGGAACTACAGGCGCGCGCTACCACGCCTGGCTATATTCCCTCACTTTCAATCTGTGTGTCTCTACAGGTGAAGTAGGTTTTCTGTAGGTAGCATATATCAAGTCATGGTTTTTAAAAGTCCATTTAGCCGATCTATACTCTTTCAGTGGGAAGTTTAATCTGTTTACATTCACAGTTATTGTTGGTAGATTACCGTTACTCCTGTCATTTTACCCATTGTGTTCTGGCTGTTTTGTATATCCTTTGCTCATTTTTCCTGTCTTACTGTTTATCATTACGTCTCTTTTTCATCTGTGTATGTACTTTGCCAGAGTTTCAGTCTGGTTATTTTTAAGGAATCTGACTCTTTGTTGAATATCTCATTCAGATTATGAACCGTTTTTCTGATTTTTTAAAAATGGTCTATTTGTGTTCTCTTGTATCTCACCAAACTTTGAGACATCATTATTCTGAATCCTTTCCAGGTACTTCATATCTGTCGTTTTTACTGGGAAGTTTGAGCTACTGTGTTCCTTTGAGGGTGTCCTGTTCCATTGCTGCCTCATGTTTCATGTGTCCTCACCTCGGTATCTGTGAGTCTGGTCTAATAGCTGCTGCTTCTGATTTTATAGGTTCGCTTCTGCAGAGAAAGACATTTTCCTGTGGATATCTGTATAGTGCTGATTGGGCAGGGTGCCTTGGCTTTGGTTCTGGGTAGATGCAGTAATACAGTCTCTGTATGATTGCTACAGCTGTCACTGGTGTTAGTGGCATCAGTGATCCCCAGTGGCTTGGGCTGCACGTGTTATTGGGGCTGTGAGAGACTTTGCTAGGTGGTATTCCAGGCAGGCCAGTGTTCAGGTACCACCAGAGGGAGTGATTGGCTGAGCTGCTAGTTCTGGGGCCCCGAGTAGTGTGTGCAGCCACCAATGGTGTCTTGTCCTGGTGGCTAGTCCTTGGGCCTCCAGGTGTCTTGCTCCAGTGGTAAGTCAAGCAGGTCCTTGTGCCAGTAGTGGCAGCTAGGGTTGGGTGATCCAGTGCATGCCCAGTGCCCAGACAACTCACCGGTGCTCCAGGTGGTATTCCTGGGAAGGTGCCTGGTTGGCAGCCTGTACAATGCAATTCCCAGCTGGGAGGCAGATGTGGGCAGCAGGTGAGCAGGCTCTGATGCCTCTGTGGGCAGTGGAGGGTGGGGCAGACTGATTTGCTGGCCCAGAGGTCATGCTGGAGCTGGTAATGGGCGGGACAGGCCTATCCTCAGGCCCTTGGGTGGTGTGTGCAGGTAAGTGCCATCGGCGGCAAGTGGAAGATGTGCTCAAGGGTGGCAATGAAAGCAGTGACTGTGGTAGTAGTTTTGTCTATGCCAGCCTGTTGCAACCTTATTTACAGTAAGAAGGATGAATTCCTTTGCATTATTGCCTAGTGTCCAAAGCCCTCTGGCACCTGATTTGGATTCCTGAGACTAGCATTAACTGGAGCTTTGGATCCCAGCCCCTGGCCTGGGGCATCCACCAAGCATGGGCTAGGGTCCTTCAAATACATTTCTAATAACCCTTTTAAGAAACAAACAGGCTGGGCTTGGTGGCTCAGCCTGTAATCCCAGCACTTTGGGAGACCAGGACCAGAGCCCGTGGGTTCGCGACCAGCCTGGGCAACTTGGAGGCACCTCATATCTATAATAAATAAAAAATTAGCCAGGCGTGGTAGTGCATGCCTGTACTTCTGGCTACTTGGAAGGTTAAGGGGGAAAGATTGCCAGACCCCAGCAGGTCGACACTGGGGTGGCTTTGAGTGTGCCACTACACTCCAGTCTGAGCGACAGAGCGAGACTCCAACTCAAAAAAAAAAAAAAGAAACAAACAAGTGGGGCGAGATGGATCAAGCCTGTAATTCCAGCACTTTGGGAGGCTGAGGCAAGAGTATTGCCTGAGCCCCCGGGTTCGAGACCAGCCTGGGCAACTTGGTGAGACCTCGTCTCTACAATAAATGAAAAAAATTAGTCAGGAGTGGTAGTGTGCCTGTAGTTCCAGCTACCTGGAAGGCTGAGTCAGAAGGATCACCTGAGCCCAGCAGGTCAAGGCTGCCGTGGCCATGAACATGCCACTGCACTCCAGCCTGGGTGACAGAGTGAGACACCAACTCAAAAAAAAGAAAAAAGAAACAAACAAGCATTAATAGTATTGCTGTTTTCTTGGCTGGGTATGGTGACTCACGCCTGTCATCCCAGCACTTTGTGAAGCCTAGGTGGGAGGATCACTTGAGCCCAGGAGTTCAAGACCAGCCCAGGCAACATAACAAGACAGTATCTCTACAAAAAATAAAAAAATTTGCTGGACATGGTGGCATGTGCTTGTAGTCCCAGCTACTCAGGAGGCTGAGGTGGGAGGATCACCTGAGCCCAGAAGGTCAAGCCTATGGTAAGCTCTAGTCATGCCATTGTACTGCAGCCTGGGTGACAAAGTGAGAACCCAACTCAAAATAATAGCAATAATAATGATAATAATAGTAATATTCCTGTTTTCTTTTTCAGGTCACATATCAGTTGAAAATTCTTACAACGGCATTATTTTCTGTGTCTATGCTTAGTAAAAAACTAGGTGTGTACCAGTGGCTCTCCCTGGTCATCCTGATGACAGGAGTTGCTTTTGTGCAGGTAATTATTCAAGATAAGTAGACCTTTCACTCTTATCACAGTTTCAAAACCTTAGTTTTTTTATGTGGAGGATATGGTTTCATTATCTATTAAAGCAAATGAATGCTTATACCAACTGGTAGATGCATTTTGAGGACTTGTTTTCATGTGAGATACTATATTAGGACTGTGAGTAACACAAAAGAGTTAATAAAAATAAAACAATTTTACCAAAAGAAATGAACCATCGAGTTAGGGAGATGCTGATTCCCACTGGGTGTCTGTCTGTGGCACTAGAGGCCATTGGTCCCCCCTTCCTGTTGTTGGTCAGCTCCACATATACCATTCTTCCCAGGTCTCAGCCCTTAGTGGTGAGTGCTTCCTGGGCTCCTTCATGGGGCCCTCTTTCTTGAGATGCCCTGTCCATTCTGGGCTTGCTGTGTCTCATTGTTTCTCCTTAGCTGAGTTCTTATTTTTGGAGATTTCATCCATCCTAGAGGTTTTTCTTCTTACTTACCTTCTGATAGCCCTAAGTTCATGCCATCAGCTCTGGATGTCACCTGTAACTTCTGATCTGTATGGCTAAAAGCCTGTTGGATAGCTTTACTTGGTTGTTCAGAGGCATTGTAACCTTGGCATCTCTTAGTTATTCAACGTCACCTCTTCTCCACCAAAGCTACACTTGTTTTTGTCTTTTTTAAAATTTTTTTCTCCTTCCTTTTTTCCTTTCTCTCCTCCTTTCCTCCCTCCTTCCCTGCCTCCCTCTCTCCCTCTCTTCTTGCTTTCTTCCTTCCCTCCCTCCTTCATCTTCTCTTTCTTTTTTGTTAAAAGATGGGGTCTTGCTCTGTGGCCCAGGCTGGAGTACAATGGTGTGATCATAGCTCACTACAGCCTCAGTTTCCTGGGCTCAAGCAGTCCTCCTGCATCAGCCTCTCAAGTAGCTGGGACTACAGAACATACTGCCACAGCAATCTTTGTTTCTTTTTTCAGTTGTTATTGTCTCACTGGGAGCTGTCCTAGACTCTTCTTTCTACATATCACTGAGCCCTTCCTGATTCTGTTTTTTCGTACTCCCTGATCTTTTCCTTGTCTGTCTGGTTCTGTTACTTCCCTAAGTCATGCCTTTCTTGTTTCTCACATACCTTTTCCTCCTGATTTTTTTTACCCAGTCTTACCCATCCCCCAAATCCAGCCTCCACATAGTTAACACTGAGATCCACTTAAAAACAAACTCAGTTATATCATATTTCTGCCATGCAGAGGGTCCTTATCACTTTGCCCAAGTGTGGTATGTATATCTCGAATAAAAAAATTAATAGTTATTTTAGATGGTTATTATAAAAGTATAAATGGCATATGAAATTCATATTTTCATGAATATCGCTTAAGATCAGCTAAAGTAGGTATTGTTTCAAAAAGTGAGGTATTTAAATTAAAATATCAAGTAATTGATAGTTCATCTGGGAGATGGGTTTGGCCAAATCTGGAAGATGACAGGCAAGTAACTGCCAGCTTCAAGGAACACAGGCCTGGGGGGGGGGGGGCATGCTTGGACGTCGTGTGACACACACACCTCCCACACACTCAGCGCTCCAGCCTCAGTGCTTACGCTCTAGCTCTTCATGCTTGCTCTCGTGACTGGAAGGGCTGCTCCCTCTTCTTTGCGAGGCCCACTCCTCTTCACCCTCAGGACTCAGCTGAGGTGTCCCTTGACCAGAGTCCTTTCCTGACGCCATGGCATATCTTTCCCTTCTTCTCTGCACCAGAGAACTTTGTATAATACGTATCTGTTCTAGGGCCCCCATAATTAAATGCTCGTTTCTATGTTTTGCTCCTATAGCAGCTGTGTTTCACTACTCCTTCCACTGACAGTGCCTGATTAGAAAGATTTAAACATAGCTTAAAATCAGGAAAAACAAATGTCATTTGTTTTTACATGACTAATTGTCAACTGATTTTATATACTGTAAGTACAGATTGTCCAGAAAAGTTTCAGGGAAGAGGTTGGATTTAAATTAGGTTATGGAAGATGATAGTTATAATAACCAGCCTGGGCAACATAATGAGACCTCGTCTCTACAATATATCAAAAAATTAGCTAGGTGTGGTAGCATGCACCTGTTGACCCAGCTACTTGGGAGCCTAAAGCGGGAGAATCACCTGAGCCCAGGAGGTCAAGGCTGCTGTGAGCTGTGATCATGCCATTGAACTCCAGCCTGGAAGACAAAGTGAGATCCTGACTCAAGAAAAAAAAAAAAAGGTTATTATAAAATCTGCATATTGCATAATTACATGCAAGGCCCCCTGCTCAGTGCTTAGCCTAATTATCTCAGGTAATACCTGTTTAGGAAGAACTGAAGCTCAGAGAGGGGAACAAAGTTTCTTAAGATCATAGATCAAATAGTGGCAGAACCAGAATCAAAGCTCTTGAATACTTGTTTCCCTATTTGTGTCTCAGTGGGTTTGAAGCACCAGAAAAAGCATTACAGAAAAAGAGGTACTAAAAAATACAAATGTGTCATGTAGCTGTGGCTTAAGTACAAGATGAGCTAAGGAGTGGCTGTAAACTTCTTTGATTGGAACAAAGGATTGACAGAAATTATAATAAAAGATAACATTACAAAATACTGATTATACATGATGGTAGTCTTCAGTATTAAACCTGGAGCTCAGACCTGACAACTTTTGACTGTAGGGCCTCACTGGAGATTTGTGGGGGAGAGAGGCCCATCAGAGAAACCCTGCAGGTAGGCAGGGCAGGTTGGGAAGACAGGCAGGAGGACTGGAGAGCAGTTAGGAAGCATGATGGGGCCCTGCACTGGCCAGCTGGTGGGGTTTTAATAGCCTAGAGCAGTGATCTAAGAGTCCTTATGAGGGAAGAGTCTGTATGAACTTCGGGCTAATAAATATCAGCAAATGGGGTGAGGGAAGTTCAGAAACTTAGGTTTGAATGATGGCATTTTTATGAAAAAGGCATCAAAACACATATTTGTCTTGGACGGGATGAGTAACTTTTAGTCATGGTGACTCTAAGGAATAGCAGGCCCCTGAATTTGACAAGCTCAGAAGAGATGTCTGTGCTGTGCCCCAGCTCTCCAGGCTGGAAGGACTGGGGTCAGTTGTGCTGTGGCGCTGCGCTGGCTGGGACATTGCCACCAGCTAGGCGTCAGTTCCTCAGGCACACTACTTGGATTTCAAGTGCTCCTTAGCCACATCAGGATAGGGCTACTCCACTAGATAGTGAAGATACAAGACAGGTCATTTTCACAGAAAGTCTGTTGAGCAGCCAGGTCTAAGACTGGCAGAAGACCAAAGAAGAGCAGACGGCCTTTCAGGCGGCAGGAGTGAATGGTTGGCAGCGTCACTGCTGCAGCCACAGCAGGCTGAGAAGACAGTGAACAGTTTGTTATTAGAAGTCACTGAAGGCTGGGCACAGTGGCTCAAGCCACTGTGCTGGATTACTCCCAGCACTTTGGGAGGCCGAGGCGAGAGGATTGCCTGATTCTAGGGGTTTGAGACCAGCCTGGGCAACTTGGTGGGACCTTGTCTACAATAAATTAAAAAATTAGCCGGGTATGGTGGCATGCACCTGTGGTTCTAGCTACTTGGAAGGCCAAATATATATATATATATATAGTTTCAGAAGGAAAAGTGGCTTTGGGAAGGCCAGCTAGTAGAAGAGCAAGCAAACGAGTGAAGAAATAGCTGTGAGTGATGGTTGGACAGCAGTTCCAGGTACAGCTGCTAGACCCAGGGTTAGGACCACTGGAGCCTCAGTGCTGCAGCAGCACACTGACACCAGAGCCCCTTCCATGCATCTCCTGTCCATTTAGGGTCCAGCAGCTCTCCTTCCTGTCCTTCCAGTGTCCCCTCCCGAAGTTCCCCTCTTACCCTCATCTATCACACCTCTTGCCAAATATCCTTCCGAGGCTCTCCTCCTAGACCTTACCTATCACGTCTCTTTCCAGGTGTCCCTCCATGGGTCCCCTCTTATCCCTCATCTCCACACCTCTTTCCAGGTGTGCCTCCAAGATTCCCCTCTTAGACCTCACTTAACATGTTTCTTTCCATGTGTCCTTCCCAAGTCTCCCCTCTGAGGCCTCATCCAGCACGTTGCATTCTAGGTGGTCCCAGTTTTGCAGAGGGAATAGAAAAGCCTTGTTTTTCTGTCTGCTTCCAGTTGAGATGGTACTTTCTTTTTTTCTGAGTTGGCGTCTCACTCTGTTGCCCATGCTGGAGTGCAGTGGCATGCTTATAGCCACTGCAGCCTTGACCTGCTGGGTCAGGTGATCCTTCTAAGTAGCTGGAACCGCAGGTGGGGGCCACCACACCTGGCTAATTTTTTGATTTATTGTATTGACGAGGTCGTACCAAGTTGCCCAGGCTGGTCTTGAACCTCTGAGCTCAGGCAGTCCTCTCACCTCAGCCTCCCAAAGTATTGGGATTATAGGCATGAGCCACCATGCCTGGCTGTTATGGTGTTTTTTAATAAATTAAACTTTGAAAAGTTATCTCCAAGTAACAGATTGGTGTATGTAAGAGACAAAACGTAAAATATTTATGGTTTCTTAAAGTATCCTTTGAAATCATAAGTTGTAATAGTAATACATTATCACCGTGGGAAAAAAATCCAGTAATTATAAGGTTTCCTTGTAATAGCTCTCTTTTGCAGTTCTGAAGAATGACACTGGCCACATTTCTATCTTCAGGTCTAATTGTGGCCTCAGTATGTATGCACTTTGAAAAATATTATAGGAATATAACTTCCATTTTGTTTATTTATTTTATTTAGTGGCCCTCAGATTCTCAAGAGCTTGATTCCAAGGAGCTTTCCGCTGGCTCTCAGTTTGTAGGGCTCATGGCCGTTCTCACAGCATGTTTCTCAAGTGGCTTTGCTGGAGTTTATTTTGAAAAAATCCTAAAAGAAACAAAACAGTCAGTGTGGATAAGAAACATTCAGCTCGGTGAGTTTGAACTGTTTTCTAACATCATTTTTAGAAGTGATTATATTGTTAACTTTATAGATTTCTGTACATCTTAAATAAATAAACCTTGTATAAAATCTGCTGTTTTCTTTCTTTTTTCTTGAGTTGAGGTCTCATTCTGTCACCCAGGCTGGAGTACAGTGGCAGGCTCACAGCCACCGCAGCCTCAACATGCTGGGCTCAGGCAATCCTTCCGCCTCAGCCTTCCAAGTAGCTGAAACCACAGGCATGTACCACCATGCCCAGCAATTTTTATGAATTTATTTATTATAGAGACAAGGTCATGCAAAGTTGTCCACGCTGGTTAACATCTCCTATTGATCCAAATATCTGGCAGTGTTTTTGTTTTTTAAAAATTTTTTTGTACGTATGTATGTATATATGTTTTGGTAGCTGGGACCACAGGCATACACCACCATGCCCAGCCACTTTATTGATTTATTTGTTTGTTTATTTATTTAAATTGAAAAATAATTTTTTAAAAATTTTAGATTCAGGGGTATACATGCGTGTTCCCTTCATGGACATATTGTGTAGGGGTGAAGACTGGGTCTCAGGGGCCCATTCCCCAGATAGTGAACATTGTGCCCTGTAGGTAGTTTCTTACCTCCCGCCTTGTTGGCATCCCCAGAGTCTATTATATCCATCTTTGTGACAGTTTAGCTTTAACATATGAGTGAGAACATGTGGTGTTTGGTTTTCTGTTTTTGAGTAGTTTACTTAGGATGATGATCTCCAGCTCCATCTATGTTGCTACAGAGTACATGATTTCATTCTTTTTAAAAAATTCCATTTTAGCCGGGCTCGGTGGCTCAGCCTGTAATCCCACGCCTTTGGGAGGCTGAGGTGAGTGGATTGTCGGAGCCCGCAGGTTCGAGACCCGCCTGGGCAACTTGGCGAGACCTCATCTCCACAATAAATCAAAAAAATTAGCCGGGTGTGGTAGCGTGTACCTGTAGTTCCAGCTACTTGGAAGGCTGAGGTGGAAGGATCACCAGAGCCCAGCAGGTCAAGACTGTGGTGGCTGGAAGTGGCCACTGCACTCCAGTCTGGGCGATAGTGAGACTCCAACTCAAAAAAAAAAAAAAAAAAAAAAATTTCCATTTTAAATGGATGCCTTTTGTTGGAGGATAGGAAACGTTAGGCCTGTTGACAAGAGGTGCGTACAGCCTGTTTCTGTTCTCCCCACTCAGTAGCTGGGTCCTTGGCTGCTACCTCTTTCCCGGAAGGTGCTGCAAATAACTGACACATCTTACTCTGAGACAAGGGGATGAAGATACCTAAGTGGAGGAAATTTGAAATGATGAACTTTTCATCTCTGTTTTAAAATCTTATATGCCTTTTTTAAAAATTTATTTTTTGAGTCGAAGTCTCACTCTATCGCCCAAGCTGGAGTGCAGTGGCACGCTCACGGCCACTACAGCCTCGACCTGCTGGGCTCAGGTGATCCTTCCACCTCAACTTTACAAGTAGCTGGAACTACAGGTGCCACATCTGGCTAATTTTTTTTTTCTTTTTTGGAGAGAAGAGGTCTCATTATGCTGCCCTGGCTGGTTTCAAACTCCCGGGCTCAGGCAATCCTCTCACCCCGCCTCCCAAAGTGCTGGATTACAGGTGTGAGCCATTATACCTGGCCCTATATGCTTTATACTTCAAAATTTTATGCTTTAACTCTTAAATACCATAGTATTTTTCTAACTGAAAGTAAATAGTTAAAAGAAAAAGAATCCCATATATTGCAGGATAGACTTTGAATGAATATTTAAACTTTTAATAGTATTGTGATATTTTAAAATACACACACAGATCCCAGTATTTAGTATTCCTGGCATTTGTTCATTTTGAATGATGCTACACAAGACCACCCATGTAAGAAGCAGCTCATTTGCAAATCAACACATGGTATTTTAAGCCTCTGTTCTTGTGACTCTAGTTTACCTTTGAAACTACTATTCTTTTCTGTTCATATGCCATTTTTAAATGAGGAAACTGAAGGGCAAAGAGGTGGAAAATCTATCTGAGCTCACAATGCTAGTCAGCAATGGATTCAGGATTTGAATCTAGGCCTTGTGACTCTGGTGTACTGTGCAGGTCAGCAGTCATATGGGCCCCTCCAGGTCCCACACAGTAAACTGTTCATCCTCCTAATGGCCTGTATTTTAAGTCAAACCTTCCAAAATCAATTAAGGTCTATCCTTCTAGGTGTTTTCAAGTAATGTCATAACAAACAGACTGAATCTTCATTTTATCACATTAGATTATTATAATGTAAGTTAATTATTATACTTCCAAAATTTGTTAATGAGGAAAAATGCCATGAAAAATACCATGCCTGAGCTTTTGTATCTATATGTATGAATGTGAATATATGAAAATCTAGACCTAGCAACAAGAAGATGCAAGAAACAATGACATATGCACAAAGTGATCATTTTACAGATATCTGAATGGGACAGCCATGTAATCATGTGATACATGCATTATATTTTAGTGCTGTAAAGTTGGTAATCTCTGTTCTTGTTTATATTCTATGTCTTTGACTTGTAGTCATAATATACCACTAAATATACTTTTGTTAAGTTTATATAAACCAAGTAAAAATTTTGAAAAGTAATTAATTTTTATCAAAAATAAAAAGTATACAATTATTTGCAATGTCAGTGGAGAAATATCTCCTTAGACAAGCTTATGACATATGATGTAGACTTTACTTTTTTTAAATTTTATTTTAGGTTTCTTTGGGAGTATATTTGGATTAATGGGTGTATACATTTATGATGGTGAATTGGTATCAAAGAATGGATTTTTTCAGGGATACAACCGACTGACCTGGATAGTAGTTGTTCTTCAGGTAAAGAATTTAAAGTCTTAGATTTAATGCTAAAAACTTTATTTTAGTATAGAGAATCAAAGTAGCTCCCGATACACTGATGGTTCCTCATGTTAGTATTTCATTGTATCTAGTTTATTCAGGGAAGTTAAGATAGAACTGGTCTTAATACCCTTAAACCTTACCTTAAAAAGCGATCTTGAATGAACTTTGTGGTATTTAAATTTAGCATAATGAAAATATAAGTTTAAAAAACAAAAATAATTGAAGCTAATGACAAATATAACTTTTGATTCAACAACTCTTATCAGGAAGTCTGTGATCAGCCATTAATACCCAGAAATAGATATATATATTTAATTCTGTGATAATTTATACTGAGGTTATACACGAAGGGGGACTCAAAAAAGCCCAAAATTAATTTTTGGAGGGTAGGCCACTTGAAGTGTAGACTTCCCCCACTGGGTAAGTGTTCTAGGAGCTTATTGGCATCAGTGTATCAGCTAGCATTGTTGTGAGAAGCTGAGTTTGGCTTCAGTGAATTATTAATTTTTTTTGGAGGTTCTTTCAATGTGTTTGCTTATTTCATGATCAGTGTTTACACGAACAGACCATTCACACTGTGCTGAGTGTTTAGCAGTATTTGACCAAAAACAGCATGACCCCCATGTCCCACCCTCCCTATTCCTCGCCTTGAGCGACTTTTTTTGTTTCCTGGATTAAAAAAAGTCCTTGAAGGAAAGGTTTTGCCAATGTGGAAGAGGAGAAACAAGGTACAGCAAAAGCACTAAAAGGCATAAGAATTGATGAGTTTAAAAATCATTTTGAGCAGTGGAAAAATTATCTTGATAGGTGTATTGCATCAAACAGAGACTCCTTTGAAGGTGACTGAAGTTTAAACATGTAAGAATAATACACAAGTTTTTATAAATTCCGGTTTCTTTTGGGCCCCCTTGTATTGGACTATTTCTGTCAGGTTACTTCAGCTTATATATATATAACTTGAAATTGTTCAAGGTTTGAGTAATTCATTTCATATTAAAAAATACTTAGATAATATACTAGAGGTTATAAAGATAAAGATACAGATCAGGCTCAGTGACTCACACCTGTAATCTTACCACTTTGGAAGGCTGAGGCAGAAGGATCGCTTGAACCCCAGGAGTTGGAGACCAGCCTAGGCAACATAGTGAGACCCCACCTCTACAAAAAATTCGCTGGGCATTGCAGTCTGTGCCTGTAGTACAGCTAGTTGAGAGGCTGAGGTTGAAGTATAGCCTAAGGCCAAGAGGTTGATATGTGGTGAGCTGTGAACGTGCCACTGCACTCCATCCTGGTTGATCGAGTGAGACCCTGACTAAAAAAAAAAAAGATGCAAGTCCCTGTCCTCAGAGGCTTCTCTTCTAGAGCTATGTGAAGCCTAAGGGGCAAGGTCCCAGGAGACAGATCAAGATGGTAAAGATTAGTTGTGTTCTGAAAGCAGGAAGGACTTCTGTTTTTGTTTTTTTGTTTTTGAGTTGGAGTCTCACTCTGTCGCCCAGACTGGAGTTCAGTGGCCGCTCCCGGCCACCACAGCCTCGACCTGCTGGGCTCCGGCGATCCTTCCGCCTCAGCCTTCCGAGTAGCCGGAACTACAGGCATGTGCTACCACGCCCGGCTGATTTTTTGATTTATTGTAGAGATGAGGTCTCGCTGTCCAGGCGGGTCTCGAACCTGCGGACTCAGGCAAGGACTTCTGTTTTTAAGATAGGAAAAAGAAGACAAGGATAAGTGAAATTCGAAAAACAAAAATTGAGAGAAGATTTGAAGTGAAGCTCGGGTAAACCAGGAGAGCTTATGTGGGAGCTGTTTCATCCTAACAAAAAGAGGAAACCCTGTCCCCTTAAAAAGGGGCTGAAGATTTGAGCAGCATGAAAGAGGCTGGGCATAACTGGCATTAGAGATTCAACAGGGAGTAAATAGACACAAAGTTGGCAGGGAGCACAAGGACCCGGACACCGCTTTGTAGGGAGCTCAGTCGGCATGATTCATGAGTTCCTCTAAGTAAAACTGCCATCATAAAGATGGGTAGTGAATGTTGGTAAGGCAGGTAGCCTGTACGTAGAAGCCGGTAAGTGGTGTTTGGCAGAAAGTGAAGCCATGCAGGACAGCAAAACCTCATGAAAGCGACCACAACTGGGAATTTGGGAGTGCTTAGGCAGAAAGTTCTTTTCTAGTCTAAAGAAAAAGCATTATTAAAACTGTGCTCTACGAAGAATCATCTGACGGCAGTGACAGGTGGATTAGGATAGGAGAAAGTAGAAGAAGCAAGCCAGGTGAGGAGGCTCCTGGGACACTAGAAAGGTAGCTTCAGGATGACTTTGATTTACTCAGAGGTAAAGACATTCCACCATTCAGAGTGACCAGTCTATTCACATCTGTCCAAACAAGTCCTATTTACTTACTACCTTGGATGAAGACAGATGTTTTATTTATAACATGGGCAAACTCCATTATAGCAAACTGCAGTCTGTTCTGGTGGTTACTTTATTAGACCTTTTGAAATAAGAGGGCTATTGAAACACCTGGAAGTCTGTTGGTTACAAGAGATTTTTAATATAAATCCCTTATATAATGAATTATAGAACAAAAGCCTAAAGCTTCATTGAGTAATGAAATTGCTTTGAAAAGCAGTTTGATATTTGTTTTTAAAATAATCTTTTGAAAACTTCTGCAGGCACTTGGAGGTCTTGTAATAGCTGCTGTTATTAAGTATGCGGATAATATTTTAAAAGGATTTGCAACCTCTTTATCCATAATATTATCAACACTGATCTCCTATTTTTGGCTACAAGACTTTGTGCCAACCAGGTAAAATATTTTCTATTTATTTAAGTCTCTAAAAGTATATAGAAAAAATAAGAATTCTTAATAAGATGATCTGATGCATTTTGTTCTATTGTTCCTTCTGAAGAATCATTAAAATATGATTTAAAAAATACATTTAACTATCTGCCAGGCTCGGTAGCTCAGCCTGTAATCCCAGCACTTTGGGAGGCTGAGGTGAGTGGACTGCCTGAGCCCAAAGGTTCGAGACCAGCCCAGGCAACTTGGCGCAATGTCATCTCTACAATAAATTTTTAAAAAATTAGCTAGGCATGGTAGCACACACCTGTAGTTCCAGCTACTTGGGAGGCTGAGGCAGAAGGATCACCGGCGCCCAGCAGGTCGACACTGGGGTAGTGAGTGTGCCACTGCACTCCAGCCTGGGTGACAGAGTGAGACTCCAACTAAAAAATATAGAGAGAGACTTTTTAAAAGAGTCCAAACTAAATTCATGAAAGAAAATCTTCTGAAAAGTTTTTTTATACAAATTTGGTTGGCCAGAATTTTTCTATTAGATCTGAGTGTTTTACTCCCAAAGTAAGAATTCATATAAAAAATTTAATGCTATAAAATAAGTCATGTGACATTTTAAATATGAAATTTATAAGTAAACCAGGAGAGTGGATGACATTGTTGAAAAACGTTATTTATTGATTGATTTGTAGTTTCACTCTGTCGCCCTGGCTGGAGTGCAGTGGCACAATCATGGCTACTGCAGCCTTGACCTGATCCTTCCGCCTTAGCCTCCCAAGTTGCTGGAACTAAGCACACGCCACCACACCAGACCAATTTTTAAATTTATTACAGAGGCGAGGTATCACCAAGTTGCCCAGGCTGTTCTCGAACCCCTGGGCTCAGGCAATCCTCCTGTGTCCTTCCCTCAAAGTACTGGGATGACAGGTGTGAGCTGCTGTGCCCGGCCAGTTGAAGATGATAGTTTTTAAGAGAAGGTAGCTCATGAGAAAACAGGGGGTAGTAGGAAAAAGAGCAGTCTGGAAAGGGATTGCAGAAGGAGTATTGGTGTTTCTGCAGTGTCAGGATGCCTGGGCAAGGTAGTTGGGAAGAACTGAGCAGAATGATATCCCTGCCCATGAATTGAGGGGTCTGTTTTTTTCCATTATTATTTAAATCCCAGATGAGTAGGATTGTATTCTAATTACTTCTGGGACACCTATAGCTTCACTCCCCTCCAATTATCTCAGCCTCTAAACTCTGGAACCTCCCAGGGATCTCTATCTATACTCACTCTCTGGGTGATTGCTACTCAGATGGCTTTAAATATCACCTGTATATGGCTCACACCTATAATCCTAGCACTTTTGGGAGGCTGAGGTGAGAGAATTGCCGGAGTCCAGGGGTTTGAGACCAGCCTGGGCACTTTGGCGAGACTTCATCTCTACAATAAATAAAAAAATTATCTGGGTGTGGTAGCACATGCCTGTAGTTCTGGCTACTTGGAAGGCTGAGATGGATCGATCACTGGGGCCCAGGTGGCCGTGAGTTTGCCACAGCACTCCAGCCTGGCTGACAGAGTGAGACTCCCAACTCAGTTAAAAAAATTAAAAAAACAAATGAAGTTTCTACTAACAATTCTGTAAAAGAAAAAGATGGCCTCGCCTTCCTGTGACGTACAAGGCCCTTCCTAAGGGGTCCCTCCAGCCTCCTCCCCACCCTACCCAGCCCAACCTGCAACCCCACCGCTCCACCTGGTAAACAGTACCCTTCATGAAGGTGTCTTCAGAGACACTGTTCCCTCTGTCTGCAATGCCCTCTCTCAAGAAAATGCTTATTTGTAATAACGCAGTTCTATTTCCGAGACTCCCTGCCTAGGCAGACCCACTTAGAGGTCTCACCAAGTTGTCCACGGGCTTGGGCAATCCACTTGCCTCGGCCTCCCAAAGTGCTGGGATTACAGGCTGAGCCACCGAACCTGGCCTAGTAGAAACTTGAAAGCCAAGACTAATTCATGTCTCCGTAACAGTATGTTTTAAAGTGTACATATTAAAAGACTGGTAGTCTAGTTGACCCCCAGTCTAAACTCATTTCCAGTTTATGGTAAGGCATATTATCTCTACAGTTAGGTAGAATAAAAAGGAATCCAAGAACTCCTTGCATGCAATGTAATTTCCTTTGTAAAGCAGCCTATAAAAATTGTTCTTGAGTTTTGCTTGTTATTGTTATGGATTTCACACTGCACTTTACCTTGGTTTGACATGAAAGAATGGAATTTTCCTTTTATATATTCAACTAGTTAAAGAATTAAGATCCTTTATTACTGAGAATATTGCAAAATACATATTATGGTGAAATGCAGCATTCATACATCTTCGTTCTGGGAGACAGAAGAGTGCAGGGGGTGAGCGCAGAAGCACCAGGGTCAGCACACCTGGATGCTGCTTAGAATTACAAGTTACATAAACTCTTTAAACCTGTTTCCTCACACGTGAAGAATGACGATAATGTTGGGACGTCCTCCTAGGGCTGCTGTGAGAACTCAGTGAGACGATGCCTTATAAAGCACTTAGCCGAGTACCTAGAATGCACTAAATACTCAGTGTTTGTGGACCATGTTACTGGAACATTTTTTTCCCTGAATTACAATTGTTTGTATGGTAAAGAAATAGAAGAAAGTTGTTTTGTGCTTAATCTGATTTTCTCTTTTTTATTTTTCCTGCATCTTATTTAGTGTCTTTTTCCTTGGAGCCATCCTTGTAATAACAGCGACTTTCTTATATGGTTATGATCCCAAACCTGCAGGAAATCCCACTAAAGCATAGCCACGTGCTGTCTTTAACTGGTTTTCCACAATGGTGCCCTAGGAATTGCAACATTAAAATGCGGCACAGAGAACTTCTACAGATTCTGTGAAAATATTGTCATACTGAATCTGGTCATATTGTTCAAATGGGTTAAAAATATGAAAGCTTAAGGATAAAATGTGTATATGTAACAAAACATGTGCATCCAGAAATCAAAACTTGAAAGTCTTTCCAGGGATTAGAATTAGAAGGGATATTGGAGGAAACTTGAAATCAGAGTTTAAAAAGGTTTTACTTTTTTGATTGCTGCAGAAATGTCCTATGCACTCTTTGCGAGAGCACACAAACGTCAGATATCAGTTTTCGCAAATTAGATCTATTTAATCTTATTAAATGTTTTTATCTTACTCTTTCTGTAAAAATATATCAAATCACATGTGATATTCAACATTTGAAAATTATAGTTACTTATAAAGCTGTGAAAAAATAGAAGTATGATTTGAAAAAATTTCACTTATCTGATTTTTTATATTTATGCAAAAGATTACTAAATGAAGGATTACTAAATGTTTTTGTTCAGTTACATGAAAATTGATAATGTTCTGGGTCTCATTTGTCAGAGAATAAATTTAATGTAGCGACACACATCTGCTTCTCTATGTGCATCTTGTGACCTTTTAGTACTTCGAGACTGCACAGGCAATCTAGGTGCTCCTGTGCCGGACGCTAGCCAGTGACGTGTACGCAAACAGGATTTTGCTCTTAATCTCCGAATTGCATTTCCTTTCTGTAAATCAGATAAATCCTTAGTGTTACTTTAAATTAAATTTGTATGTTAACTGCCATTAAAGTTTTAAAATGTAATTTAAAAGTATTACTCATTTAATAATTTAAGATAAAATAATTATTGTCTAATATCTCCATTTGGAGAATTTTAAACTATCAAGCATATGCTGTAATAGAAAGTTTTTAAATGAATACTTTACTCATTTGTAAAAGCTTCCTTTAATCTACAACTGATTGTTGACAAAAGCAGCCACCAAACAAATAATAGTACAGATGTCAGTAGAGTGAAACCAAAATGACTTCTCTTGTAAACATTCCAGATTGCTATATTATGTTATTTTAAGTAGCACTGTAACTTTACATTTAGGCTGCTCAGAAGAACATATTAACATCCTAAAAACCCACTGTTCCCAGGAATGCTCTGACTACATGACAGGGAGAGACAGATTCTCAGTTCCCTTTCTGTGTCCCCACAAGAGCTGCTAAACAGTAGGGTTTTCCTTTTTGATGAACACTGGAGTTGAGAATACAGATTACATTAGTTATTTAATAAGCTGGTTCAAGGGAAAGAGAATATGTTAGAAACGGTTAGATGGAGTGGTGGACAAAATGCTTTCTATAATTGGAATGTGGGTTTAATTTAATTACTGACTACAGACAGAATCACTTATTGAGTATAAAAAGTATGTTTATTTTTTCATTCATACTGTATATATTTTTGAAAGCCTGTTCTAGTAGATATAAAACTGTAAAATACAAGTATTTTTATATTGTTCTAATAGATTTTGTTAAAAAGAAATTGGCTCTAAAATACTGTGTTACAAACTGGTATTCTTAGCTAATGTAAACTGGCAGTGTTACCTGGCTACTACAAGCATTGTCTACAGATTTCAGGCCTAATCAATTTCATCCAAAGTTTAAAAGTGTTTAAAACTACAAAATGTTCAAAATCAGTTTGCTGGTGATTCCAAATTGCTACCAAACAAAATTTCTGGATGCCCAGCTGATGATTTTCAGTAACTGCCTTTCAGAGTATTTGTTTAATAATTTTACATCTAGAGCATGGTATTTTTAGACTGCAACAATATTCATACTTACATTATTACCTATGGCTAGGCTAATGCACAGAATTCAAGACTAAATACGATTTCTGTTTAGCCAACATTAACGTACTGGTTGGATACTTATGTATTGATGTAGTGACCATTCACAATTGTTGATTCAGGTTTAGTCTACCCGTTTCAACACTTTGAAAAATTATAAAAGTAAATTATTGGATTCAGTTGCAATAACAACACATTTCAGGTATCCAAAATAATACAATTTCAAGATTACTAATAAAAGTTATAAAAATACTAAGAGTTGTGAAAATGGACAAAATAGTCTGAACTATATTTTCTAAGCATACTTTTATTAGATAGGCATAATTTATATTTGCTTTTCTAGTAGGTTTGAAAAATATTTATTAGAGATATAATTTTTAATTCATAAAGAAATAATCATATTTGAGAAGGTGTGTCTATGTCCTAGATTATATCATATTACAGGTGATGGCATTTTCTTATGTTCTGATGACTTCTAAAGAACTTACTGTATCATGCTTTTAGCTTTTATAATGGTGACTCCTTGATTATTTAAATTCCTGTACATTTTATTTGTTATCTCTCAGCTATTTTGTTCATTGTAAAAATGTGCAAATTCATGGGAGAAGAGTGCCAATTGGTAGTTCTATTAAAAATTTCACTAGGCACAGTGGCTCAAGCCTGTAATCCCAGCACTTTGAGAGGCTGAGGTGAGAGGATAGCCAGAGCTCAGGGGTTTGAGACCAGCCTGGGCAACCTGGTGAGACTTCACCTCTACAATAAATCAAAAAATTAGCCAGGCGTGGTGGTGCATCCTACAGTTCCAGCTACTTGGAAGGCTGAGTGGAAGGATCGCCTGAGCCCATAAGGTTGAGGCTGCGGTGGCCATGAGTGTGCCACTGCACTCCAACATGGGTGACGGGGTGAGACTCCAACTAAAAAAAAAAAAAAATTTAAAGTTACACCCAGGCACGGTGGCTCATGTCTGTTAATCCCAGCACTTTGGGTCACCATAGTGGAAGGACTGCCTGAGTCCAGGAGTTTGAGACCAGCCTGGGCAACCAGGCAAGATCTTGTCTCTACAATAATAAATCAAAAAATTGGCCAGGCATGGTGGCGTGTGCCTGTGGTTCCAGCTACCTGGGAGGCTGAGGCGGAAGGATCGCCTGAGCCCAGCAGGTGGAGGCTGCAGGGTTCGTGAGCATGCCACTGCACTCCAGCCTGGGCAACAGAGTGAGACACCAACTCAAAAAAAAAAAATTAAGAAGATGGTATTTGGGAAGAAAAGTCTGAAATGCAACAGGTAGATGTTTCAAACAATAATATTAACAATTCTTTAACAGGTGATTTTAGAGAAGCTGTAGGCTACTTTTTTTTTTTTTGAGTTGGAGTCTCACTCTGTCACCCAGACTGGAGTGCAGTAGCCGCTCCCGGCTACCGCAGCCTCGACCTGCTGGGCTCCGGTGATCCTTCTGCCTCAGCCTTCCGAGTAGCCGGAATTACAGGCATGCGCTACCACGCCAGGCTGATTTTTTGATTTATTGTAGAGAGGAGGTCTCGTCAAGTTGCCCAGGCGGGTCCCGAACCCACGGACTCAGGCAGTCCACTCACCTCAGCCTCCCAAAGCGCTTGGATTACAGGCTGAGCCACCGAGCCCGGCAGTAGGCTACTTTTATTATAGAAAACACAGTTTAGAGATACAAAACTTAAATGTTTACATCAATTTTATTGAGTGTCACAGAATTTCACAGAAGAAAAGGTGGTCTGATATGTAAACTAGATTCTGGGGAGACAGAATCTGAAGGGAAGTTGACTCTGTATGGACGGACACACTGTAGAACTGGCCATTCTTACATATCAAATTATTGAACTTCTAAATGTCATTGTGTAGTCATTCAACTGAGTTTTTGTTTTTAATAAAAAGGGTTTAGCATCACTCATTTTATTTACACATTTGCTTTTATAATATTTAGTTCCCATGAGTGTGTGCTTTACATGAGATCAGGCTTATGAAAGTTATTTATGTTCTACTGAAAGTCATCTTAAGACTCTCTAGGATATTAAAGTAGTTATAGGAGCAAAGACAAAGCACCTTCATAAAAATCTGTCCTGTGTGCCTTGCTTTACCAAATACCCGATTTTGGCGGGGGATATTTCTGTAATTCACAACTTTAGACACATGGGCAAAATTAGGGTGTCTTAAGAATACCTATGATTCTATTTTTTTGCTGTTTCAACATTCGCTCTTTAAATCCCATTATCTAACAGAATTACATTAGGTATGTTATGAAAGCATTAGTGCACAGTACTTATTTAAATAAATCGTGGCACCCTTGCTCTGCCGTTGAGCTTCCTGAGACTTTAATAAGTGTATGAAATTGTCAGTTTTTTTCCATTAATACATGATGTAATTTACTGTGATTTTTAAAATACTTTTATAATGATTTGGATCCTGAATTTATGTCTGTATTTCATTTGTTTAGAAAGATTCTTTTGGGTTTGGGAATGTCATTTTTATATTTAAACTTTTTATGGACATAATTCAAAGGAATGTATAAACTAGTCTTTTGTCAAATGACTTTTTAATTGATTAACTTCTCTTGTCGTTTTTTGGTATCCAGTTACTACCTGTGTAATCAATGTGTTGAAATAGATTATTTTTGTAAAGAACTCTATGCAGACCTTTGCTATGTTTCCTTTTTTTCTTGGGTCTCCAGCCTATCGTAGGAATTGGTCTCCTTTCCTGATTCCTCAGGGATGAGTTGCCGATTCCTCCCTCCCTGTCTAGTTGCCTTTATCACCTGAGATCCTTCTTGCTTTCTCCAACCTTTCTTAAGTGTGAAGGACTGGGTTCATTTAAGCTAGTCACAGTGTCTCTTCCTGTATGATGATTAGCAGCCTGGAAGTTTTTTGTTTTTAAATAAAATATCTCTCTGCTCGTCTCAAGGTTAAGTAATTATAGTAATTTGGTGTTTATTTTCTTCATAATTTAAATATAATTGCTTCAGTTGTAACTGTCAATTCAAGGCACTGAGATCAAATGTGATAATATACAGGATTTTATTTCTATAAAGTAACCTTGATGCAAAATGCTTTTGTTTTAAGATCACTAAAATATGAGCATTTTTAAAATGTATACTTTTCTTTGGTAACTTCTCATGAAAAGCACTGACTGAAAACCTCTAGTGTTTTTGTATTCAGATACTTCTTTTGTTAAAAGTATATCACAACTTTTAAATTCCAGTGCTATGCAAATATAATTTATAATCTGAATCTTTGAGATACTACTGTCTTCCAACAGAGTCAGACAGTGACTAGCAAGATGGTATTGGTAATTGGTATGTTTATTTTTTTTTTTGAGTTGGAGTCTCACTCTGTCGCCCAGACTGGAGTCAGTGGCCACTCCCGGCCACCGCAGCCTCGAACTGCTGGGCTCCGGCGATCCTTCCGCCTCAGCCTTCCAAGTAGCCGGAATTACAGGCATGCGCTACCATGCCCGGCTGATTTTTTAATTTATTGTAGAGATGAGGTCTCACTGCCCAGGCGGGTCTCGAACATGCGGGCTCAGGCAATCCACTCACCTCAGCCTCCCAAAGGCGCGGGATTACAGGCTGAGCCACCGAGCCAGCTTGGTATGTTTTTAAACATATTGATGACATACACACTCCAGAAGAAAAAAATTCTCGAGGAAGAAATAAAGTGCCTTCAGTTACCAAAGATCTGAGTTTCTCCTATGGTGGGGAGTGTTTTGGTGGTTGCAGATTCAGGGAGTTCCCA